TCCTCCTCCTCCTCCTCCTCCTCCTCCTCCTCTCCTCCTCGCTCCTCCTCCTCCTCCTCCTCCCTCCCCCTCCCCCTCCTCCTACTCCTCTCCTCCTCCTCCTCCCCTCCTCCTCCTCTGCCTCCTCCTCCTCCTCCTCCTCCTCCTCTGTCCTCCTCTCTCCCCTCCTCATCCTCCTCCTCCTCTCCTCCCCTCCTCTCTCTCCCCCCTCCTCCCTCCTCTCCACTCCTCTCCTCCTCCCCCTCCCTCCTCCTCCTCCCCTCCTCCTCCTCCTCCTTCTCCTCCTCCTCCTCCCCGCCTCCTCCTCCTCCTCCTCCTCCGCCTCCTCCTCCTCCTCCACCTCCTCCTCCCTCCTCCTCCCCTCCTCCTCCTCCTCCTCCTCCTCCTCCTCCTCCCTCCCCTCCTCCTCTCCTCTACTCCTCCTCCTCCTCCTCCCTCCTCCTCCTCCTCCTCCTCCTCCTCCTCCTCCTCCTCGTCCTCGGTCATGTCCTCCTACAGGCGGATTTGGGGCGCAAATGAGAACATGCCAGAAGCATAAAAAAACAACAACCAAACGGTCGAAACATCGTCTCCCGAATCCCACCAGCCCTCTCGGCGTCGGTGGTTTAGGGCGTTTCCTCTTCCACCCCTCCGTCTTCCCATTCGGGGAGGGGTTTACCCCTCCTTCCCGTGGACCTGGACGGGAGGGGCGGGGAGGTGTCAGAGGGTAGTGTTTCGCCCAAGTTGGCTCCATGAGGGCCCCAGAGAGCCCAAGATAGCCTCCAAGATGGCTCAAGATAGCGCAAGATGCTTCAAGATGGCTCCGAAGATGCTCGAAGACGCTCCAAGACCGCCCCAAGATGGCTCCAAGTGTCCAAAAGAGCTCCCCAAGGATGCCCCCAAGAGGCCAACATGCTTCAAAACCCTTGGGAAACTCAATGTTTTTAGCGTTCTCGCCTTCGCGCTTCCGATGCCCATCCGAGGCGACAACATAGCTCCAAGATGGCCCAAGAGAGCCCCGAGAGGGGCCCAAGAGAGCCCCAAGACGGCCCCAGAAGCGCCCAAGAGCGCTCCAAGAGCGGCCCAAGAGCGCTCCAAGACGCGATGTGGGGAGCTCCCGAGGGGGGACCGTAAGGAAGGAACCCCCCTTTGTTGATCGATCTCCTCCAAGATGGCCCCAAGAGACGTCTTGGACCCTCCTCTTGGGCCCTGCGCGCGGGCGGGCGGGGCGCCGCCCGCCCGCCCGCAAGGCCCAAGAGCCCACCAAACCGCCTCAAGAGACCTCCAAGACGCCACCAGGAGGAAGAGGAAGAGAAGGAGGAAGAGAAGAAGGAGGAGGAGGAGGAGGAGAAGAAGAAGAAGAAGAAGAACAACTGCCGATGAGCTGTCTTCTGCCCTCCAGAATTCCTGTCGTAGCTCTAGTCGTCATCTCACGCACAGCACCATGAATAACATCGATATCTCCAAGAACAAATACGATCCCGCCCGGACCCCGAACTTTCTTTCGGGGGTTGGAAATGGCCCTTGCGCGAGGTGCCCCCAGCTTTTCGCTCCGCTTTGGAGCCCTCTGTGCCTCGTGAGGGGTGCTCTGGAGGCCGTGGCCTCCTTGGAAATCATGGGGGCACCTTTCGGGCTGGGCGAAAGGGGGGGATGGTTTGAGAATCAGCTCACGTAGCTGATTTTCCCGGCGCCTCCCGGCGCCGGAGGCGTCCATGTATCGAGGAATGGGCCCCTCGGTGGGGCCCAAACCAGCTGCATGCAGCAGATTTCGTACCCCCCCCCGTTCCCTATCCCCCCCTTTCGTTCGGCCCGAACCTTGGGCGAGATGTACTTCTAGCAACGCTCGAAGTATCCCTAGAGAACTATTCTCACCGGCATGGGGCTACGATGGGCGATCGACGTTCCATCCCTGTTCCTGCCCACGCTCCGAGCCCAGGATAGGGCCAGCGCGGCAGCATGGATTCTAGGATTCTGGCCCCTGGAGCCGGGAGTTCCCTGTGCATGCCCTGCAAAGTACACAGAGGCCTCCTAAGTCCTAGGTCCTAGATGGGGTCCGAGTAGATGGGGTCGGAGGATCGCGCCGCATCGCCGACGCATCGCGGATGCACCGGCTATGCATTGGCGATGCACCAGCGACGTCGGCGATGCATCGGCGACGTTGACGTGAAGCAAATTGGGCCCCACATCGAGCCGCATCGATGATGCATGGCCGATGCATCGGCGATGGGGCGAGGTCCTCCAACCCGATCTACTCCGACCCCATCTGGGAGGCCTAGAACAGCTTATGTCCGCTCTACGTCAGAAAGCGGGAGTGCGAGAGGGACGAGGAGAACGACCACGACAAGGGGGGGGCGTCCAAGAGAGGGGTTCCAAGAAAGGCGGGGGCTGAACATGCAAGCATGCAATGGTCACCTCGATGACGAATTGTATCCGCAGTACGGTGTTTGAAAGAGGGACTGGTCTTAGGCGCATGAACTTGCGACTCAATCGGAATAGGCGAAATCCATACGGAATAGATCCA